CGTCATCTGGTGAGTGCCTGGGACAGCAGGAGAATGCTGACGCGGGACACTAGGACCAGTGCAAGCAGCACGAACAGATGACGCAGAACGAGACTCAGGCAACACAGGACGAGACTCCGGCTCACGACGCTCCGAAAGACCTCATGTCGGACCAATGTAGGGAGAAGGACTAGGAAGTGACGAGGAAGGCTGCAACTGTGGCTGCGACTGGACTGGCTGAGGACACTCTAAGGAGGGAGCAGGACAAGGAGGAGGCGGCTGACCAAGAACCTGCTGAAGGAGCGGAACGAAGTACGGCCGCGGTCGTGAAGCGCCCTCAGAACCAGCAGAGACCACACCAGAACCCCCAGCAGCAGCTCCATTTCCAGCAGTACTACCAGCAGTTCCAATAGTGCCAACTCCAGTACCCCAAGTAGTGCCAGCTCCAGCCGCACCGTCGGCTCCAGCACCTGCAAGACCAACCCCAGGATCGTCAGCGACACCAACTCCAGTAGGCTCGGCGTCCTCAGCTCCACCGGCAGCTCCAGCAGCTCTAGCACCTGCAGCTCCAACTCCAGCACCAGCAGCACCTCTTGTAGCACCAGCTCTAGCAGAACCCCCAGTCCCAGCAGCTCCAGTACCGCCTGTACGAGCACAAGGGCCTCCAACGGGCGGCACCCCAGATCCAGGAGCGCCGCTCCGGAGGCTGCAGCGCAGTCGCTTTGGGGAGGGAGGCGACGGCTGCGACCCAGCACCCGCAACACCACCAGCTCCAACTCTGGCAGAACCCCCAGCTCCAGCAGCCCCACGCCGGAGGCTGTAACGCTGAGAGTACCACTCACGCAGGTGCTGTGAAGAGGGAGCGTCACCAGGCGCAGGACGGTCAGTCTCAGCTCCCCCAGGCTCAGCACCCCCAGGCTCAGCACCCCCAGGCTCAGCACCCCCAGTCTCAGCACCCCCAATCTCAGCACCCCAGGCTCAGCACCCCTAGGATCAGCACCCTCAGTCTCAGTACCCCCAGGTTCAGCACCCCCAATCTCAGTACCCCTCGCAGGACCAGAGTCGACAGCTACCTCGACAGGCTCGACCGGGTCTACCTGGGAAACACCTAAGGGAGCAGGACCCTTGGGAGGGAGGGGGTCTACCGAAGCAGCACCTGGCGTGAGTAAGAGCGGCGGGGGGGGGAGCGGCGCAGTACGGTAGGGGAATCGACGGTAAAAGGGTACCGAATCGTCAAAAGTGACGTCCTGTGAGGGGAAGAGACGGCGCGAGGTGGGGTGGTAAAATTGCCAGCCAGGCGCGTCAGGGACAAAGCCAAGAAAGACGCAGGGAACAGCACGGGAGGAGAGCTTGTCCGCTGACGTATCGCGGACAAAGGCTCGACATCCCCAGACTCGGAACACCGACGCATCGCCAACCTTCCCCGTCCAACGTTGAGTGGGCGAGGTCTCCAGAGCAGAGATCCGGGGCCTGAGGTTGAGCTAATGCGCAGCGTACTGCACTGCAACCGGCCACAGGAAATGGGGGGCAGCTGCATGGATCATAGAGATACGAGCGACCTCCATGACTAAGCCAATGCGGCGCTCAGCAATCCCATTCTGTTGTGGTGAGATCGGTAGTGCGAACGTCTAGCGGATGCCGTGCTCCGCACAGTAGGTTGCCAAGAGGTCGGAGGAAAACTCACCAACCCTATCAGAGTGCAGACGCAGGACTCGTAAGTCCGACTGGAACCGGTCGCGGAGCTAGAGACGAGCAGCGCAGATCCAAGGGATCAAAACATCAGGGACCTCACCCTTGGTGCGCAAGGGGAAGACCGTGGTGTAGCGCGTGTAGTCGTCGACAACCAGCAGGAAGTACCGCTTGTGGCCCTGTCCACGAACGCGGGCTGGGCCCCACACGTCTAGGTGGAGAGTCTGCAGAGGAGCCTCTGTGGGAGGGAACGAGGAGGAGTGAGGCGTGGCGCGCTGCCGCCCCTCGACACAGGGAAGACAGGGAGGAGCAGGCGAGGGTGGGAGAGGAGGGAGAACCCTGGGAAGACTAGAGACAAGGTACCGGGAGTGCATGCCACGAAGGCGCTGCACTGAAGGGTGACCAAGGCGGTGGTGCCAGAGGACAGTCTGGTGCGACAGGGTGCGACACGAGCAGGGGGCCAACAGCCGACCTGACGCAGACGCAGACGCAGCTACGTGAGGGGACTCAGTGGTCAGTGTATACAGGTCCGACCCCAGCTGCCAAGTAAAGGTAGCCAGGTGGCGACCCGTCCGAGTACACGTACAGTGGGTCACACGCTCATAGGCAGGGGTGAACTGGTGAACACCCCCGTCCTGGAGAGCAGAGCCTGCCACCAAGTTCGTAGAGAACGAGGGGAGATAAAGACCCAACAGGTTGCCGGCCAGAACCGCCGGACAAGGGAGGACAGTGGAGGAGGTCGCAAGGACTAGGCCCCCAGAGGGGTCAGCTAGAGAGACAGAAACAGGCCGAGCTAGCTGCTCAAGGACAGTGCGGTCACAAAAGAATCAGCGGGAAGCACCCGAGTCGGGTGTGAAGGTGTGCAGTGCCTCAGTAGACGCAAGTACCAGTAGGCGCATACTCACAAGCACTTGGAGCAGCAGACGCACTGGCACCTAGAGCAGCAGCCTCACCAGGACCTAGGGCAGCAGACGCACTAGCACCTAGAGCGGCAGTCTCACTAGTCCCAATACCCGGGTCGGGCGGTACACTCAGGTAGCAGTCACCCTCAACACTAATAGTCAATGCATACATAGCACCAAGGATAGCATCATAATCAAGAGCAAAGATATCAATTCCCTTCTTAAGCAGATCAGCCCAGCGGGGCAGCTCAGAGGCATCATGGAGCTGCTCGCGCCAAGCGTCGTCGAGACGAAAGAAGCAGCGCTGCGCCGTGTGAAACCTCCCACAGATCTGGCCAGTGCGGTCACCTGTGCGGATGACGTACGGGCAGGTACCTCCACCCCCAGACCCCCCACGCTGAGAGTACCACTCACGGAGCTGCTGGGGCGACGGGGTCTCGCTGGGACGCTGTTGCTGCTGCCTCTGGCCACCACCGAACCCTCCACACTGCACCGCTCCACCGCGTCCACCACCAGCTCCACTGCCGCCACCACTGCCACCACCACCCCCGCCACCCCCACCACCGCCGCCTCCACCACCCCCGGCTCCGCCACTGACCCCCCCCACCACTAGCGCCACTCCCACCACCGCCACCACCCCCGCCCCCTCCACCACCGCCGCCCCCGCCGCCACCTCCGCCACCCCTGCCCCCCTTGCCCCTGCCGCCCTTGCGTCTCCCATTAGGAGCAGACTCAGCCCCGACCCCCTCAGCACCGAGGTAGTCGACAGCAGCAGCAGATGCTATGGAGGGGAGGAGGGGGACGGGAGAGCACCCCTCAATGAAGGGGGCGCGAGGGTCGCCACGAGAGGCACCTACAGCTACAATACTCTTCTCAGCTGCTAGGAGTTCCTTCTCGAGCAGGTCGACAGTGAGGTCGGTAGGGGAGAGGGCGAGAAAGTGGTCCATGACAGTGCGAAGGGAGTCAGGGAGGCGGGTGACTAGGTGATAGAGTGTGAGGTACATCGGGGGAGGGTTCTTGGCTAGGAAATCGGGGGGAAGCGCGGCACGGTCGCGAAGATCACCAGTATGGAGGTGCGTGATGAGGTCAGCTACAGTGGCAAAAGCAGACGGATCGGGGAAGAGATAGGGCAGTGAGAGACGGCCTATCGCAGTAGTAGCAGGGGAGGAGTAGCGTGCAACTACAGCGTCGTACAGCTCCTTAGCGGTCTTATGCTGGCCAAAGTGCTCGCGCTCATCTAGCGGTAGGTGGCTGCGAGTGGCTAGGCGAGCATGAGCGTCACGGGTCTCCCACTGTGAGCAAGCAGTGCTGTCAGCAGTAGCAGCAAGTGCGGGAGCGGCGCTTGACGTGTGGTCAAACAGGGAAACATCGTCCTTGGCAGTGATCTGGAGGAACAGGTGCAGGTCATCGAGCCAAATGTCAAACTTAATTGGACGGCCCTCAGAGTCAAAGGTGAGAACTGTAGGACTAGCCATAGTGACAGTAGCAGCAGTAGCAGTAGCAGTAGCAGTGGTAGCAGTAGCAGTAGTAGCAGTAAGAGTAGTAGCAGTAGCAGCTATAGTAGTAGGAACAGGATCAGAAGGTGCTGCAGGTGGTGCACAGTAGGGCGGCGCGGCTTGGTCAGGGCGGCGCGGCTCGGACTAGGCTACGCGGCGCGGCGCGATGGTGGGCCTGCGCGTGGGCGGCTGCAGCGTACGGGCCGTGGCTGTGCGTGGGCTGAAGTCGCGCGCGGGCGGCGGCCTACACAGGCAACGCGGCGGCCTACGGGCGGGGCTGCGGCGCGCTGGACGGCCAGCAAGGCCGGTCGACGGGCGGCTAGCGGGCTGCTCGTGGGCGGCGCTGGTCGTGCGGGCGGCTAACGGGCGACGTGTGCATGACTCGGGCCGCGCGCGGGCGGCTAGCGGGCTACGCGCGCTAAAAAAAAAGGCCGCGCGCGGGGCTAGCGAGCTGCACACGGGCAGCAGGAGAGAGAGAGGCGCATGAGGGCGCACTAACAGAGAGGCGCACGAGGGCGCTAAGGCGACAGGACGCTCGAGGGCGCTTCTAGCGGAACGGTGGGCCCTTAGGTAGGTGGTCCTAGGTTCCTAACCTAGGCTCGTAATACCATGTCATAATGAGAGAAGTGGTTGGACTAGCAAGATTGGGAGTACAAGTAGGAAAACCCTAGAATGTTGTACCCCCTAAGGCTATACCGACTGTAGCCTACATAACAGTAACATATACAATGTTTGACACCGCGAACTGATGTCTTGAGCTTGGTTCGTTGCACAGCCACCTGGTTGTGAACGAGATGAGACAGAAAGAGGGAAACAAGGACATGAGAAGGGAGGGAGGGGTGTGTGCAAAGAAGAGCACAGCACAGCACTGTAGATTCGTAGAGCAGAGCAGAGCATCCTAAACCCCACACAACAAAGCAGGTTGTGGTGTGCCTCACCTTGTGACCCCCGTCTGCAGCCACACTCGCTCGCCACAGCAACAGCCGGAGTGCGAGCCGACGGAGGGGGTGAGGAGGAGATGAGGTGAGGAGGAGACAGGGTGAGGAGGAGATGGGGTGAGGAGGAGATGGGGTGAGGAGGAGATGGGGTGAGGAGGATATGGGGTGAGGAGGAAATGGGGCGAGGAGGAGATGGGGTGGGGAGGAAATGGAGTGAGGAGGTGATGGGGTGAGGAGGAGATATGGTGAGGAGGATATGGGGTGAGGAGGAGATGGGGTGAGGAGGAGACGGGGAGAGGAGGAGATGGAGTGAGGAGGAGACGGGGTGAGGAGGAGATGGGGTGAGGAGGATACGGGGTAAGAAGGAAATGGGGTGAGAAGGAAATGGGGTGGGGAGGAAATGGGGTGAGGAGGTGATGGGGTGAGGAGGAGATGGGGTGAGGAGGATATGGGGTGAGGAGGAGATGGGGTGAGGAAGAGATGGGGTGGGGAGGAAATGGGGTGAGGAGGTGATGGGGTGAGGAGGAAACGAGGCGAGGAGGAGATGAGGTGAGGAAGAGATGGGGTGAGGAGGAGACGGAGTGAGGAGGAGATGGAGTGAGGAGGAGATTGGGTGAGGAGGAGACGGGGTGAGGAGGAGATGAGGTGAGGAGGAGATGGGGTGAGGAGGAGACGGGGTGAGGAGGAGATGGGGTGAGGAGGAGATGGGGTGAGGAAGAGATGGGGTGAGGAGGAGATGGGGTGAGGAGGAGATAGGGTGAGGAGGAGATGGGGTGAGGGATGGGGAGGTGAGGGATGGAGAGGGAACAGATGGGGAGGTGGGGATGGGGAGATGAGGGATGGGGAGGGATGGGATGGGGAGGGAGCATAGGCGACGGAGGGGAATGAGAGAAGGCGAGGGGCAGGGGGATTCGCGTGGGGGACGGAGGGAACTGAGCCTGTGCGGAGTACGGGTCGTGAGCGTGGGCGACGGATGGGGGGAGAGCGTGCGTGGCGGGGAGGGGAGAGCGTGGGCGACGTGAGGGAATCGCGTGGCGAAGCGAAGAGGAGTGATGGTCACCCCTCAAGGGGAGTGAGCGCGTGCGACGGAGGGGACCATCGTGACAGGTGGGGAGTGAGAGAACGCGGTGAGAGGGAGAGAGCGTGGGCGGTGGACGGGACGCATTCGCGCACGACGAGAGGGAGTGCTCGCGAATACAAAGCTGCGGGGAGGAGGAGATGGGGTGAGGCAGAGATGCGGGAGGCAGTGTGCGACAGGAGGGAATAGACGGTGTGCGATGAAACGAGGGTGAGCGTGTGCGCCGGAAGGATTGCGCGAAGGTGATGGAATGGGAGTGAGCCTGGGCGATGGGTTGGAGTGAGCGTGAGTGACGGAATTGATTGATCGTGGGCGACGGTACGATTGCGCGAATGCGATGGGTAGGGAGTGAGCGTGGGCGACAGGAAGGGAGTAACACGGGCGATGGTAGGGATTGAGAGTGGGCAACGCAACGAATGCGCGAGGGCGATGGAATGGGAGTGAGCGTGGACGACGGGAAGGGAGTTAGCGCGGGGGACGGTAGTGATTGAGAGCTCCCAACGGAACAATTGCGCGAAGGCGATGGCCAGGGAGTGAGCGTGGGCTTGTGAGGTCTTGAGCATGGGCAACTTGCTGGAGTGCGCGTGGGCGACGGAAGGGAGTGCTGGTGGGTGTGTGCGCGTGGGCCCGTGGCTAGCTATGTCGAGTGAAAGAGGGGTTTAGAATCGCAGAGAGTTATATAATTTCCGATTGGACGGAATGGAGTACTTGTCCTAAAGTGTAAGGCAGAAACAAGAGGCCTGGGACAGGAATAGGGTTCGAGCCTAGCCGTTCAAAGCTGTAGCTGTTTGCTCTCCCCGATAGACTAAGCCATTTCAGTCAACCTGAATTACAGGTTTCCAGTTTGGTGTGCACACCAACGCCAAGAGTGGTTGCGCGACACTTCCCTGTGCTAACTGCGAATTCATCACGTTTTGTAGGTGAACAACTAGTAACCACCTTGGTTGGGGAGGGAAAGTGTTAATTGTCAAGATAGCAAGCAGGAGTGACTGCATTGAATAAATTGTGGGTACAAGTGCTAACCCTAACATTGGGTTGTACCCCATATGGGCTACCCCACTATAGCCTATATAGAACTAGCATAGATATAGTTTGACACACCCCCATAGGCAAAGTGGGGGAGAACAAGGGGTCACAAGACCAGTAAAGAAAAGCGAAGCAAGCTCAAGGTGGATCACAACGACACCACACACTCCGAGCACAAGCAAAGGGCCACAAGGCCAGTTCACATGCAGAGGTATATATCCAACAACGACAGTACAGTGATCACTACCTAGCAGGAGTAGGCATGCAGGTATACAATATAGATCACACTACAAGCAAAGTCAAGAGGTGAGCAAGTGAGGCCAAGAAGGCACAAATCCTAGAACAGTACAGAACCGCTGATGATCACAAGGCTGGAGTGCCTTGGTGAAGATATCAGCAGTATTGGCCCAAGAGGCCACGTAAGCAAGACGAAGCTGTCCACCCTGCTGCAACTCTCAAGCGAGGAAGTAACACAGAGCGATGTGCTTCGTCCTGTGCTCCAGTCTGTACTCCTAACACAAGGCAATCATCGCCTTGTTGTCGACGTACAGATTTGGAGGAGAACGAGGCGCCTCTCCCAAGTCGGTCAGCAAGTAGGTGAGCCAGCGTAACTCCTGTGCAGCCATGGCCCCTGCGTAGATCTCAGCCTCACAGCTGGAACTGAGAACAGAAGACGAGCGGGTAGACCGCCAGGAAACAGAGCCGGAGCGAAGGCTGAAGGTGTAACCCTGTGACGACCGGTGCATGGCCAAGTCGTCAACCCAAGAAGCGTCTGCGTTGCCAGTGAGGACAACTCGAGCCCGTCCTCCAAGCACGAGCCCCATGCCCGACATACTACACAAGCAGCGCAACACCCTCTTAACGACCTCCTAGTGCTCTGGTCAGTGTCTCCCGGGCGCAACGTAGCGTGCCAGGATGCTAAGAGGGTAAGCAAGGTCAGTTCGAGTGCAGGTTATCAGATACATGAGGCAGCCCACAAGCTCTAGATACGGGCCAATCGGCTCTACGGACTCATCAGAATGCAAAGCTGAGAACGAGTGACCAGTAGGCAGAGGAGTGGAATGTGGCAAGGAGTACGTGAAGAGGAAGAGCTGAAGGAACTGCTGCACCATGTGTGGACTAATAGTTGCGCAGCTCTCCCAGTCTGTGCACGTGTGTCTCTTCTGCGGCTCCGACTTCACGTAGGCGAGTCCCTCATTGTAAGCAGTGGCAAAGACCAAGTCGTCGACGTGCACGAGGATGTAGAACGGTGGCAGCGAAGTGTCGGTGCGCAGAAACAGCGGCGGGCCAGTAGTCGAAGGAGCAAACCCTAAGAGCCGCAAGCGTCGTTCTCAGTGTGTCGTGCCACTCGCGAGGCGCTTGACGGAGACCGTAGATTGGCCGCCGGAGGCTCCACTGGGCACATGCAGGAAAAGATCCAGTGAAGCCAGGTGGGCGGCGTAGCCAGATCTCCTCGTGCAGGCTGCCCTGTAAGAAAGGTGTGCTGAAGTCAAGAGAGTGAAGCTCATAGTCACGCTGAGCGGCGACGTGCAGTAGAACCCGAACAGTGGTCATCTTCGGGGTAGGGGAGAAGGTCTTGAAGAAGTTGAATCCTGTCTCTGACTGAAGCCTCGTGCAACGTAACGCGCCTTGAAGACAGACGGAGAACTCGGCGATGTCTGGTGCATCCGGGTCCTCCCTCAGGTGCAATCAGCATGGACATGAGATGAGGTACAGCAGCTGCAAAACACTCAAAGTCCTCCTGCCTGTCTTCAAGGACGTCCATGCCAAGAGCACACTCACCCCCGACGGATGGAGGACAGTCAGACTCAGACTCAGCAACAAGATTAGCGGCGTAGTTGAGACGACAAGCAGCAGCAAAGTCAACAAGCTCAGCGACTAAGGCAGACGCAGCAGTGTACTCAAACGAAATGTCAGTGACAACTGTGGCTAGGAGACGCGTGTCAGTAAGTCTGGCAGCACGAACTAAGTTTGAATCAGGGTCCGGACCGGAAGGAAGAGAGGACGCAGGAGGAGACGGCAGGGGAACGCGCTGTGGAACAGAGGAAGGACGAAGTGCCATAGTGTGCGTGCTGGGGACAAGAGGGGGACGCTCACAAGGAACACAACGACCAGTGCGACCAGCGCAAACAGGCAAGACAGGACGAGACGCAGGCTCAGGACACTCTTTATGCAAGTCTGTCTGCTCAGTGTAAGGAGAAGGAGCAAGGAGTGGAGAGCCTGGCTGTAACGGGAGGCCAGTAGACGACGAGATGCTAAGAACCTGGCGAAACATGGAGTCAAGCGGTGGCAGAGACGACGGGGATGGCAGAGCGAAGAGCAGTCGCAGCTGTGCAGTACCACCAGCACCAGCACCTCCAGTACCACCAGCACCAGCACCTCGAGTACCAGCACCTCCAGTACGAGCACCAACTGCTCTAGTGGCTCTAGCAGCTCCAGAACCTCCAGCCCCAGCGCCTCCAGCTCCGGCACCTCCAGCTCCAGGGCCTCCAGCAGGAGCACCCCCAGAATCGGTACCTCCAGCTCTAGGGTCTCCTACTCCAGGGTCGACAGTACCAGCGCCAAGGCCTCCAGCTCCAGCGCTTCCAGCAGCAGCACCCCCAGAACCGGCACCTCCAGCTCTAGGGTCTCCTACTCCAGGGTTGACAACACCAGCTCTAGGGCCTCCAGGTCCAGTGCCTCCAGCAGCAGCACCCCCAGAACCGGCACCTCCAGCTCCAGGGTCTCCATCTCTAGCGCCTCCAGCTCTAGTGCCTCCAGCTCTGGCACCTCCAGCTCAAGCAGCGCGACTCGAAAGGGGGGTGCGCGAAGCAAGCCACTCGCGCAGCTGCTACGGCGAGAGAGGTGACCGCTGTAACGTAGCACCAGGAGGACCTCCAGCAGACTCAGCACCCCTAGGCTCAGCACCAATAGACTCAGTACCCTCTGGGCCAAGCACCTCCAGCTCCAAGGTCTCGAACTCCAACGCGTGGGTCTCCAGTGCCTCCAGCACCACGGACCCCGGCAGCTCAAGTACCTCCGGTACGAGCACCTCCAGGACCCTCAGCGCCAGCAGTACCAACAGTTCTGGCCACTCCAGTACCTCCAGTACGAGCACCTCTAGACCCAGAAAGACTAGCACCCCCAGCGCCTCCACGACGACCAGCTCCAGCAGCTCCAACCGCACCACCTCGAGCAGCAGTATCTCCAGCCGCAGGACCCCAGCTCCAGCAGCACGACTCCTCAGGCAGGCACGCCATGCAAGCCACTCTCGTAGCTGCTGTGGTGAGAGAGGCTCCCGTCGTGAAAAGAGACCCGGAGGAACGCCAGCAGACTCAGCACCCCCAGACGCGGCACCCTCCGGCTCAGCACCCCACGCTCCGCACTCATAGGCTCAGCACCCCAGGCTCCGCACCCCCCAGCACCTCACGCACAGGCTCAGTACCCCCAGACGCAGCACCCCGAGTAGCACCACCCGCAGCAGCACCTGAGTCGCTAGTGACCTCTACAGGCTCAGCCAGGGGGAGTGGGTCTACCTGAGACACACCTGAAGGAGCAGGACCTTGAGGGGGAGGGGGTCTACCGGAGGGGGACCTGGAGCAAGGAAAAACAGCAGGGGAGGGAGGGGGGCAGTGCGGTAGGGGAAGAGATGGTAGAAAGGAACCGACTCGTCAAAGGTGACGTCCTGAGAGGACAGAACACTGCCCGAGGTGGGGTGGTAAAACTGCCAGCCAAGCGCGTCAGGGGGGAGCCGAGGAAGACACAGGTAACGGTGCGGGAGGAGAGCTTGTCCGCGGACGTATTGCGGACAAGGGCGCGAGCACCCCAACGAACAGACCCACGCATCGCCAACCTCTCCCGTCCAACGCAGTGTTGGCGAGGTCTCCGGCAAGGAGACACGGGGCCAGAGGTTGAGCTGCTGCGCGGCGTACCGGACCGCAAACGACCACAGAAAATGGGGAGCCGCCGCATGGATCAAGGAGGTACGAGCGATCTCCATGACCAAGCAATGCGGCGCTCAGCAACCCCATTTTGCTGCGGTGAGCCCCGAAGCGTGAACGACTGGAGGAGCTCCCTCTAACATAAGGCCCGCAAGAGGTCGGAGGAGAACTCACCACCTCTGTCAGAGTGCAGACGTAGGACAGGGAGGTCCTGGTGGAACGCTCGCGGAGCTGGAGACGAGCTTCTCGGATCCAGGGGATAAGGACATCAGGGACCTCACCCTTGGTGCACAAGGGGAAGACCGTGGTGTAACGCCGAGTAGTCGTCGACAACCAGCACAGAAAGTACCGCTCCGCCGCCCTGACCACGAACGCGGGCTGGGCCCTACACATCCATGTGGAGGGTCTGCAGGGGAGCCCTGTCGGGGGAAACTCGGAGGAGTGAGGAGCGACGCGTTGCTGCCCCTCGACGCAAGGAAGGCAGGGCGGCGCAGGCGAGGCATGGAGGGGAGGGGAGGACCTGGGAAGACCAAACATAAGGAGGCGACGGTGCATGCCACGTAGACGTGGCAAGGAGGGATGACACAGGCGGTGGTGCCATAGAAGAGTCTGGTGCG